TGTCACACGCTATTAGTGAAGAATTGCATCTATTTCAGTGTACATTATATGCCTACCTTTTGAAGACACACTTGTTAAGATGAAAACCCAGGGACTTTATTCTATGAATGAAGCCTGGAATTACTGCATCCTGAAATGTGAACGTGTTTCAAACAAACTCAATTTATTTTCTATGTTCAATCATCAAGGTAGTGCATGTTTCACCAGTAATGACATGTGTCACTCAAACTTCATATTGTGAAGTATCTGCGGGTAAATGTCATCGAATGTACAGTCACTGCGAATAAATTAGTAAACAGAGAAGAGCTGTATCTAGGGTGATCCACTGTCATAAATGAAAGGGCAAATGATAGACAGAGAATAAATGGAATTTAATTGGTGGATGGTGACTAGCTGTGGATTCCAGCATGCACATTTCGTCATATTTGGGACTCGTCGCTGGATTTACCTACATTACCCTGTGAGTGATGATGTTCCCTCCAAATAAATTCTGATTATATTCCCAGAAATAGTCAAAGTGTCTGCACAAGAAGCCGACATGTCAAACTGAGACCGAGCGCTTCGGTCCAATCAATCGACGGGAAAATCTAAAATTCAATTAAAAGGATAAATGGATTTGAATAAAATCCGTTCAACAATGAGTGATCTGTAAATAAAGCATATACAACAGACACTGTTTAAATATAAGAGGATATTATCATACATCAAATAGAACAATCATACATTAGGCGAGATAAACTTCAATAGCGAACAACAACACCTACGCTTTTAAAGGAACCACATTTAAACGCATACTACTCTCTACTGATAAGTAGTACGAAGCTCAACAGAAAAGTGTTACGAAATATGGATAAGAGTGGAACATGCAACTCATTTATTATCGCAGAAATAGTACATCTTGTCACGTCCCATTAACTAATCAACACGCATCATTTCAAATTCTCAGTACAAATAGTTCCTATCGGTTATTCCCTGTGAGGGAGAACATATTAGGACAAATCAATAATACCATCTTTGTTTTCCAGCAGTGCAGATTGTATCTGGTGAAGAATATTCCACGAGATAATCAATAATGAGCTCATATTATCCTGATTTGTTCAAATATACAATAATATGTTCCCACAAATGTCTTAAAATCAAGCTATCTAGAATTCAGTTATTATGTTCACCCTTTTTATATCTTGATACTGATCATAGTTACCGACTAACATCACAGCATGGGTTTGTGTTACCAATAAGATTTGAACGTCGCACCTATCGTTTCAAACTCCATAGCATTACCTTCTATGTCAAAGGAGCCAGCTGACGTGTGCTGAATAGGAAGTGTTTATCCTGAGTTCCACTGCTTGTCATCAACAAACAAAATAACTACAAAAATCACTATGTTTCATCAAAACATCTGAAGTAATAGCCAGCATGTCAGCAGAGACCCTGAATTTTTCTACTTAATAATCAATCAAATGAAAATACAAATAAACTTAAAGAGAATTTATTATCAATTCGCATTATTCGTCAAACACACTATGCCGTAAAACTTCGTTCCGAAACAGAGATTATGTATTTTTTCCAAATAAGATGAAGGGTTAATATCAGTTTACGAAAGGGCAATTCCAAAATTTCAAATGTGGATTTTATGTAGTCTTGATTGCGAATAAGGGATACTCCAGTTCTCACGCTGAACATTCCACGAGCTGACTGTTTCTACCACAGTGATCAATTGAACTTGAACAATTAATATCGTAGAGGTACGAACAAAGGTGAACACGTTTAACACCACTATTTATTGATTGTATTTATATTCCCTTGTTCTGCGAATTCACAGTTTTTCATCAAATAGCAGAAATATTTATTGTTTGTTCATTGTGAAAATAAAACAAATTATTAAGTATATTTCAGTAATATACACGCAATGGTAACTACTTTGTGTTTTGGTGATATTCCGAGGTAGAAAAAAACCACTGTAATGTAATTATAATAAATTTGTTATTATTACATGATGTTTTTCACAAAGTGAACTGAAGCCTTCGGTCAAAGGTATCTTCAAACAGTTCACCACAACTTCAAAGCACTACGAATCAAAATCTAAGGAGTGAGTTGAATAAATGTGTAAAAAGTTGATTGGTTTTTTATTTGACTCATATAACTACTGGTCTTTGATGCCATTATATCGCCATTAGAGTAGTTCACTTCTTATGATTTGTCGCTAGTATCTTTTTCGTGTGATTATTGAGAATGTCAAAGTCTGTATTCATCGTATGATCTTACATATTAGAACTTCATGAATCCATAGTTTATGAGGCTTGACGGTTGATATCTTTCTGTGAACAGTGATCAGAATATCAGTAAAATGGTACTTCATCAATGAATATTTTTGTTTACAATTCTCTATTTAATTCTGTCATCCATTTGGCAAAAATGATATTTCAAAGAAAATATCAACGCATCTGAACATGGACTGATAATTACAACATCTTACACCTGTTATTATTACTTGCTCAATATGTGTGTAGCTTTTTACGGAAGCATCATAATAACGTCTTCAAATGTCTGCTGTACACCGAGCTGTTTCTTGTGTTTTCACTAGTATATTGATCATTGTTTCTCTCAACACTACTGAAATTCCATACACCTGCATATTTGTTTCCAGTTTAATACTTTCACCAATTGAATATCAACATGGTCCGTTTATGTTGTCCTGCCTTCCTCATAATTTTCACTCATAATGATTTTGTTCGTGATATCTAATTCAATATTATATCAGAAGCATTTCATCAAATTGACTTATGTCTCCTACGTGTGAATATATGTTCACCTGAAATTGTTATGATCGCATTTGTACTTCACTCGGATATGAATGAGACCGTTTCTTCCTCAGAGCTTATTTTATGTCAAACATAAACAAAAGAAAAAACTCGTAAGAAACACAGGGTTGTGTCTTCCAATTGCATCGTAGAAAGATAAATTCACTTAAATTTCAATTTCATTCATAAAACAGTGTGAATTAAAAGCGAAGTCAAACTGATTATTCAGAAAACAGTTATTATCCATCTACTTGATGGAAACTGTAAGATCACATACTGAACGGTCTAATGAAGTTGACAAATATACACTCACTGGGGAACTGTCACAAAACGGGATACAATATCAATGGTAGACACATATTCAAGCGCGAAACATTGCTTTCTATGTCTTGTTTTCAAGTTTTAGTTTCCTGTAGTGTTTTTGTATCAATGATTTACTATTTTATTAGTAAATTCATCGACTTATGTTCCGCAATAGTACCCACAAATGTGAGTACCTTGGTTGTGTTCTTCAAATATGGAAAAATGAAAAGTGTGAAAGGACTCACTGTAGACAGTAAAAACTTCGAGATTTCGTGCATTGAATTCTCTCTAATCAGATATTATGAAACCCGAATCTGAAGGTAGTCAAAAGTGAACGAGCAGTTTCCACCAGAAGATCATAAGTTTTCAATAACCAGTTTTATTTCGAAATGATCCTCAGTGAACACAGAAATCAAATTTATCTTAATGTCTGTTTCTAACTGCACTTATTAAATCAATAAAGTTGACGGTACGTTAGTGATACACTGCAGGTTACACTGAAGTAACTTGAACGAATATGCATTGAAACTTGCAGAAATTCAATTGTCCTTTACCTTAATTACGTTCCTGGAAAGAATGTTCACCCTACAAAACAGTCATTTTGAATATTCATCCATAAAAGTATCATTTCACACATAATTCATCCTGAGACTAATTATTATTTTGCAGATATTTGAACTGTGTAAGGAATACTTATATACAGATATCAGTCCAGATATTGTAAGTACTTGTCATCTTTTATAGGAGGCTTTGTGAAACTCAGAGTGATTGTCAATCTTAAAAAATCGGGATCCATACAATATCTTTATTACTGAAACCAAAAATTCAGCAAAAAAGTGTTCTTCTGAAGAACTTGTTGAACGGAAATAAAAGTGGAAGATTTGGTGCAAAAAGATTGTGTTATATTAAATATTTGAAATGTCCGCTGTCGTACATTAAATCAGAAACATCGTCACTATGGTATGTATTTCAACACAGCTCATGAATCATGATCGTGAGTGTCATCCGATTTCCAGCTCATTTGAGGAAGCTGGCTAAAAGCACAGCTAACTAAAAGAAGAGACAAAAACAAATATGACAGCATTTTTAAAATTCCAATTAATTTTGCGTCAGTCTGTTGATTTGCTGAGTGGAGAGCATTTCATGTTTCACAATGATGAAAAAAGTGATTAGTCGATCCAGATTGAGATATGGTTTAAAAGTTGTAATAATTTTACCCATATCATACTCTTGAAATGCTTATCCGAGTGCAGCAAAGGGGTTCAGGCTTTATCGTTTAAGTTTCAGAAGCATTTATGCTTAAATTAAATAGGGTAGGTTTGATAGCCGCACGCCTAACCTACGCTCTTTCTTGAGCCTACCATTGAAGAAAGCAATCGAAATCAGAACGATGTGTATGGTAAAGGAGCATTCCACTGCTGAATCAACGACTCACTAACTACGTCATGAAGTCTCGTAAATTGAATCTTTCTTTTAATATTCTTCGTTTCTTGAAATCAATTAACTGGTGCTTAGTTCGAGTGATAAAACGTTTTCAGAAAAAAAAATTATTGTTAACTTACCAAATCACCTGCAGTGTTCAAAATGCCACCGGCCAACTCAATCGAAATAGGCTGAAATATGTTGAAGTGAATTACATTGAGAATTTGAGTAGGAATTCTAAAAGATTGAATACATATTTCAATTCGTAATAATTGAGGAATAAAATCAATGCCGCTAAATGGAATAGGACTACATTATGTGTATGTATTAGAGCAGGGAATTTCAGGTGAGCAGTTCGACGAAATAGGGAGTACTGAATCTTTCTTTATGTCACACTTCAGCGTCACTTTTCTTAGCATTATGTGATGCAATCGTCCCACATCAATGATTATTTTCATCATCATTTTCGAATAGACTGAGATTATTGAATTGCTGGAAAAGTACTCCAACCTGATTCCTACTAGCATGTCAGTGTATACTCGCCTGACCTCAAGAATATAGAAACTAGCAAATAACTGAAATTCCATATGGAAAATAAACACATCACAATAGTTCAAGAGATGATTACAGGAGTAAATGTGAAAATGGAAAATTTTACTTGGCATTTCAATTCACTTACACCTAACCGTCCAACATAAATCGTAGATAAAGCAACCACAAAACAAGCCACTGAAATACACAATATTGCGATTGCTACTCCTTTTTTGAATCTTTTAGTTAAGGAGCAGAAGATAATCGTCAAGAAGTCTTCGAGAAAAATGAAGCCAATTAAAATATAACACGGCTGTTTGAAGTTACAACACATCAGAATGATTTGCGCTGACCACAGTAAAACCTGTCGGTAAAACAGTTTAAAGATTTTGAACAGATGAATAGCAATAAAAATATTTTCTTCATAAAACTGATGTATAATCTCAATTTCATGTGAAATAACACCAAAATTTGATTTAAATACTTTAAAAAGAACACTATTTTTTGCGTCAAAAACTGGTGACAATCAGAACCAAATTGGAGAACCACATTTCGTGCTTCTTGTCTCCCGTCACCGTAGCAATTCAATATGCTGAAAGTAACTGATATTACCTCAAGGATTCACTTGCACAATTTTAGCTGTACGATTAGAAGTTTAAGCTTCCATAGAACAGGTATGCACGAATGCAGTATGTCTAGCTCCAAATTAGCTGACTCAATTCAATCACACAAATTTGCTAGCCTTAAGAAATCCCATTGAAGTTTCTCATTACAAAACGCTTACAATGATTACTTTTGGAATGGAATTATACGCGGAGAATGATGATGCATTTTGAAGTACTGAGTAACCGTTAGAATGCAGCAGAAATTTGAATCATGTGGTCAAACTCTGAAAGCTGAAAAACACCGACACTGGTCAAGTAATTCCCTTAAATGAACATTGAAACGAGAAATAAAATATCCACGAAATCAAGAATTTTGATGTACTTCTTCAATGGGTAGCACACCGTTTCCTTATTCTGTTTCAAATTATCAACATTTTAACATTACTTTGGTAAATGGTATACGCCACAAAAGATTATGGTAAAGATCAAAAATGTTTCCTTGGAAATCCCTCACTTCACAGTATTTACATTTGAAAATCTCATTACAAGAAAGGTTTCGACTTTCAAGTAACTGGTACAACAGACACGAAATGATCATGAGTAAATGAAGTCAACTCATTAGATTGATGCTTTTCAAAACTTACCATAATTCCTATCAGGACCAATGCGACTGATAATTTAGTTCTGAATTTGAAAAACAATAATAAAATAAGCAGCAGATTCAGTGCTCTGAAATGAGAATAGAAACAAGCTTTGATCAGCTCAGAAATCTCAGACACAGTTATATATGTGTAAAAGTTAGAAACTGCTTGTGCATGTTTCCATATCAAATTCTGTGATTAAGCGTATCACGCTGAGAGTCTATTCTAAATTGAATGAAGTATCGAACAGAAATGATCGCTCGCATATACATGGCTTCACAGTCATCATCTACTGACGGTTTTAGATCTTGTTCAGAGTATGCGTTTGCAATAAGTAAGACAGAATCTCCCACAAATTCAGAACCATTCCCAGTATACATAACGTTGCAAATTAATGCACTCGTTATCCTTGCATTGGTGGAGTACCTTGTTGAAGACAAAACGAATTCGTTACAGTGAATAATTTAAAATCATATTCTCAATTAAGCTCATTTTGTTACAGTTTCTTAAGTATCTGTTAGTCAGTAATCTGATGAATCATTTTCATTTTGACTGATTGACTGTTTGTTCGGTAATATTTATTAATGAAAGGAAGCTCAACATTTGTCTTGAATAGGAATGTTTTATGTTAAATCATCACTGCTTCTGTTCATGTTGGGGTAGCAACTCATTTGATATAGTATCTTGATTCTCCGGATATAGGAATGCAGATTAGTCGTCACTAAAAGACATATCGACACAGATACAACTTGTCACTGAGCCAATGTGACATGGTGTTAAGCGCAGATATCAGTCCAAAGACATGATTAGTAATAATAGAGGTGATTAGAAGGATTAAAAATCCTCTGAAATAAACAATCACCATCTAGGTGATCATGAGAGACACTCACATCGTTCATGTAGAATTATGAATTGTCACATCAAGTTGCATTCGAAGATGAAGATGTCATCTGGGTGGAATTCGAAGTATTAGCAACATAATGACCAAGCGCAAAGAACATAACCACACCTACTATATTCATATGAGCCATAAACCTTCTGCGTAATTTTATCCGCATCTCGAGTCAGAGTATATAGATAGCCCTAATGCGATATGATGGACTATGACGCTTGAATACGCCACATATCCTAAAGAAATAATGAACACGTAAAGAGAAACCCATATGACATCAGATCTATCATTTAAATCATTATCTGACTTGAGTCTATGGCTCTCGTTCTCCGTAGCTGGACGTTACAATTTTGAGATGATAATCAGCAGTTGATATAAATGTATGGACAATCATCTACTACTATTACTTTTTATTTGAAAGATAACAGAAATCCAGACTTACAGACACGCGACTGCTGCATAATCTTGCCACTCGAATTTAATCATTTCTCCCACCTGAATAAGAACAGATTCATTAAATATAAGTCATAATTCATAATATTTACAGATAATTTATACCAACTTAATTGATAAAGCCGTCATAAAATGCTTGTTGTTCGCGATGGTTACAGACCTGCGAAACTTTGAATTTACACGAAACCCATGGATCGTGATGTCACACTTTTCAACGTGAATGTCCGACGCATAAATATTTTAAGCGATGCCATATGAGGCCTTCATGACAATTTCACATCCTACGAAACACACATTACCTAGAATCCATATTAAACAAGCAAATAATAAAATTCAAGAAATTTGTTCTAATACAACTATCAGTATATTTATATGAAAACAGAGCAACCCATACTGAGTGAATTAAACAATTCAATGTACCATTACGAGGCTCCCACTAAATGCTGCTCACGTATGTTACATATTCAGAATGTTAGTGAGCAATGCGGTTTGATTAAACTCTTTCAATCCGTGTTCATTTATGTTCCACTTTATTTTAATAAAATTTATTACATAGGAAACCAATAAAACAAATAATGAAACATAACGGAGAATAAAAGAAAAGTATTTTCTTCCAAATTAACATTTCTCTGATGTTATGATCACTGACATCAAGTAATGAACCTCATAAACCAAGGTGTCATAACATTCGAAGACCTAAGATTACACGCAGAGTGAAGCCTATGAGATCCTGAGACTAATCGCAAAAAAACAATACTAACGACAAATCTAAAGACATGAACAGCTAACCTGTGAAACGAAAGCCATCTAACACTCGATGTTATAAGAGTTATAAGAGTCGTTCAAACAAATGCTAAATTATCATGCAAATATATCCATTTCATTTTGTAAACTTTGATTCGTAATTTTTTTACACTTATGGTGAAGTGTTAAATAAATTCAAACAAAGGCTTCAATTCACATGAAAGATTTCTTTATTTATGAGCATAATCAATTATTCGCATGCGTAATCAAGTAATGCTTTAAAAAAACTTAATGATTTTTTTTACTTTGAACTGTTTAGTTTGTATGCTATTATCGTCTATATAACCATTTTAATTTCAGGTAGTCTGCAGCCGATGAGAACCTGTGAAATAGAATGATATAATTTTATACTGCAAAACTGGTCTTTCTTTCTCTGTCGAAATTTATCGACGGAACCAAATGTAACAAATATTATCACCTTGTTTGTTCAGCATGATAAAGTTCAGTTTTGCATTTCAGCATAAACTTTGGTTCTCTAAAGTTATCTGAATAACAAGAGGCTGTAAGCTTTTTGGTCATTTGATGCATACAGCTATAAGCCACATAATCGTGAACATAAATATAAGGTGGATGAATATCAAATACCATTCCGTGTGAACACATGAAATACATTCAATATGTTATTAAGTGTTTGAAGACAACCATCAGTAAGCCCTGGACGTAGTGTTGCATTTACTAACACAAGTCATATGAGTGTATCTCCAACTCACTCATTTCAATGAGCAGCTAAATTTCAATACATTCAGCGAATTGTAGAAACTAGAGCACATCACATAGGAGGAATAAACAGACATAATTGATCAAGATAGCTTTAGTTTACACTAGTGCTACTGCCTAATGAATAAAGACGAAATCTTATTTTCAGAAGAACACATTCAAACAGAAATGGTAAAGTGAAATATATCTCCAAGGGGTGTCACAAATGAAATAATCCTGCTCCCTTCAATATTTCTTGCTATCTAGATCTGTATATGTGATATTGATTTGTGACCATGGCCACACACACAGAGCTTCTGATAATTAACTTGTTAACATTATACACATTTTACGATGCGTATTTTGAAGTAGTCACACAACAATTGCCAAGTTAATATAAACTGTGTATCTGTCTTATCATAAAAGTCCTTGTATTTCCTGATGATTGAAAAACGAAACGATATTGTTTTCACTGACGTGTCGCTATCTATCTTCACTTATAACTTCATTAAAGTATTATGAAACCAGAATGTCAGCTTATACACAGTAACTTAATCACCACTCTTCAGCATGTGGTTATTTGTACGTTATCACATTGATCAGTTGTTGAGGATAACCATGTAAAGAATTACCACTGAATGCCTTGTTTTGATCTTCGATATATCCATCCATCCAGCTATCATCAATGAGTGAATATCACATGACCTGAACGCAGGAGATCAATCTCTGCAGCCGACTGGATAGCCGACCACAGAATGCCTCAACGAACGAAAAAAACGATTATTTGAAATAGAATCGGCGGTACCATTCAATAATTATCATATATAAAAAGGCTAAATTGACTCAGTATTGCCACTAGTCAGTCGCAGTTGAGAATTATACTCAGTTACAAAACAAGTACCATGCAACAAAATGAATCAATCGAAATCAACTCTTGGAAGTACCTGGGAATCAAGAAGAATTTTTGCAACCAGGTGTGAACAAAACTCTCTCCACAAGACTCACACATCAAACAGTTCTCACAGACAGTAAAGCGTCATAATGATATCGACTCACTCAAACGAAATTACAGCAGTCATCGCACAACCCCATAGAGAAAGATTAAAATTAGTGATTAAACAGTAAGAAAGACAAATAATAAGGATTTAGTGAACATGTGATATGCAAGCGCCAAAACAATGATAAAACGTTTAGGTGAAAATGTGATGTTTATTATAAAATAATTTGAAACATCTAAGCAAGTATAAATATTGTAAATAAATCGTTCAGCTGG